GTGCATAACACATGGCTCTTCTTTTTTTTTTTTCCTTTGTTAGTTTTTCTAGGTATACTTTACATAAATTGTATTAGTGTACCATGTAATGTTCTACGTCTGTATGTATTGCAAAACAATCACCACATAAGTCCAGGTAACATCTTTGTTGTTGTTTAGTCACTAAGCCCGTCTGACTCTTTGGTGACCTTGTGGACTGTAGCCCACCAGGCTCCTCTGTCCATGAGATTTCCCAGGCAAGAATACTGGAGTGGGTTGCCATTTCCTTCTCTAGGGGATCTTTCCAACCCAGGGATTGAAGCCATGTCTACTGCATTGGCAGACTGATTCTTTACCACTGAACCACTTGGGAAGGCCTTCCTACATCATTACAAAAATTATTTATCCTAGTAATGAGAACTTTCAGGATCCATTCGTCTAGGTACTTTCAAATATGCAAACAGTGTTATTAATTATACCCACCAAGTTATATATTACAACTCCATGAATAATTCATTTTATAACTGGAAATTTGTACCTTCTGACCCCCTTTACCCATTTTGCCCACTCCCCACCCCTCCACACGAGGCAATCATCAATCTGTTCTCTATATTCATGAGCCCATTTTTTTCTTTTGTTTTAGATTTCACATTTAAGTGAAATCATATGGTGTTTAGCTTTTTCTGTTGGACTTAGTTCACTTAGCATATACACAGCTTTTCTGAACTTTCCTCATCTTTAACATTGGAATCCTAACACTGTTAGGATTAGGGGTAGGGATTTGAAAGTATTTGACAGTATTATTGCCAGGATTGTATCAATTTTTCAGTAGATTGATTGATTCATCTATTATATCAACAACTTTAGGGAGTGCCAGTTGAGTGCTAGATATTGTACTAGGTTCTGAGGTTGCTGTGGTGAGCAATGCAGCAATCCCTGGCCTTGTGGAGCATAGCATATGAAAGAGAAAACAGACCCCCCAGTGAGTGAAAAGAAGATAAATATAGAAACACAGATCATAAGTGTTCTGAAGATAATGGTCAGGAATGCTGATCGAGAATCTCTTTTAAAAAATTTACTTACATCTTTATTTACTCAGCTGCGTCAAGCAGGATCTTTTGCTGGGGTACACAGACTCTAGTTGGTGCATGTAGTCTCAGTAGTCGCAGTCCACAGGACCTGGTTACTCCACAGCATATGGGACCTTAGTTCCCAGATCAGGGATCGAACTTGTGTCCCCTACATTGTAAGGCAGATTTTTAACCACGGGACCACCAGAGAAGTTCCTGATGGAGAATCTTGTGGGGAGGGAGGGACTATTATAGATCTCATAGTCAAGGAATATGCCTGTGATGTGGTGACATTAAGCTGAGACCTGAAGAATGGGGGCCCCAAGCTTCATCCCTGGGGTGGTTTCTAAGGAATTACTAATGGACCTTCCCATCAAGATAAAATTGAAATATCTCAACGAGATATCCAAGATCCTCCATGATGAGGATTGCTAGATATAATACAGGATGCCCAGTTAAACTGGGTATCAGATAAGCAACAAAAAACTTTTGATATGTTACTACATATTCCATGGAACATATTTATATATTTACTTAGTTATTTATTAAAATATTTCTTTATTTGGCTGTACTTGGGCTTAGTTGTGGCATGCAGGATCTTTAGTTGCAGCATGCAAACTCTTAATTGTGGTATGTGGGATCTAGTTCCCTGACCAAGGATCTAACCCAGGGCTCCTGCATTGGGAATGCAGAGTCTTAGCCACTGGACCACCAGGGAAGTTTCTAGAACATATTTATACTAACACCTTTTTTTAACATTTAACTGGAATTCAGACGTGATTGGGCGTCATGTTTTTATGTGCTCAATCTCTTAATTCTCTCTGTGCTCTTCCTCAGCTCAGCTGCCCCCTCCTCTCTTACTTCCCACCATTCCCTCCAAACACAGTATTCCCTGTCCAGCTCCTTGTCTGTGTCCATGCTGTTTCTTCTGTCCAGGTCACCCATCTTTCCCCATGTCCCCTTGGCAAACCCTGCTCATCCTTTAAACCCTGGTCCAAATGGCACCTCCTCTGGGAAATCTTCCCTGGCAGGTTTATTATCCTCATTTCAGGGTGTTCCCCAAACATATGGTTTTGCTTACGATTCTATATTTTAAGCGCTGGTTTCTCAAAACCACAGACTTGACTGAATACCTTCAAAGGAAAGGATATAAGAAATGAACTCATTTTCCTCACCATACTCCCTCTCCCCCAATTCCCACTCAAGTCTTATATTAAGGTCAAACATTGAGTACTTTTCTGTGCCAGGCACCAAGCTAAGTGCTTTGCATGCAGCATCTCTTGTAAATTCTCCATAATCTTACAATGTAAATTCAGTTGGATCTCTACTTTTTGGAGAAGGCAATCAGATACATAGCCACTTGCCTCTGTCTCCACACCTGTAAAATGAGGATGATTTTACATCCTCATCTTCCTCGTTAGGTTTTCTCCCCAACTAGGATATAGGTCCCAAAAGGGCAGGAACTTTTCTCCTTACAAACTTCGATATCCTCAGAGCCTAAAATTGTGTCTGGCATTGACTAGGCACTCAGTGAGTTCCTGAATAAATGAATGAGTCACCTTACATATGAGGAGACTGCAACTTTGAGAGAGAAAGTAACTTGTCCAAGAGCACAGAGGTGATTGTGGTAGAACTTTGGCTAGAACCAAAATCAGTGATGTGTTGGTAAATGTTTAACAGTCAGCTCACTGAAAAACCAAGAGTCATGATTTGTAGCATATGTTGATATCCATGTTGTAAATACACCCACCGAGGCAGATTTGAAGGAACCAACCTGACGTCAACTGGCTTGCAAATCTCCTGAAAGTTTAACCCCAGGGTCTTGCGGGCCTGTCTAAATAAGCTGGTTCCAGATACCAAGAACTGGGACATAGTTCTAAAGAGTAAACAATTCCAAAGTATACACTCCCACCATTACTCTATCCTGCATCCCTGAATGAGGCACAGTCTATATTCACAGCTAAGTAGAAGAGGAAAGACACTCAAATAACTCAGTTCAAAGCAGATTGCATGGGTGATTCTTAAAAACCGTAAACCCAATCACAACACCCCACCAACCCCCGGCTTAAAAACTTTTCAATATCTTCCTAATGCTCTTAGCAGAAAATCCAATTTCCTTATCATGACCCACAAGGCCCATTTGTGGAACCTCCTCCTCCTGTACTGAACACTGTATTAGGGTTTTTGTCATAGGATATAGTGGTTAACATGACATCCACAATTCCTGCTCCCATGCAGCCTGTGTCCAGTAAATGAGGCTGTCAATAAACAAGTAATCAGCCACTAAGGACAGATGAGATACACTGTGAAGTAGAGAAGGTGCTAAGAAAGAGAATCGTGAGGAGAGCTTGCTTACTTGGACCCAAAGTGAGTAGCGGAAGATTATGCTAAGATAGTGACACTGGAGGTCTGAAAGATGAGAAACAGTTGGTTGAGATGTGGGGCTAGTGGCTAGGCAGAAGAGAGGATTTGGTAGTTTGAGGAATAAAAATAATTTCTGTACAATTGGAGACAGTGGAGGTAGGATGAGGAGGATGGTTATCAATATTGTGATGGTCAGAATGTTTGTGTCTCCCCCATACCCATAATTTGAAATTTTAACTCCCGAGATGATGGTATTAGGAAGTAAGGCTTTGATGAACTGATTAGATCAAAAGAGTGGAGCCCTCCTGATTAGTTTTGTAAAAGAGGTGGGAGAAAAATCCCTCACCCACTTCTGCATGTGAAGATACAGTAAGAAGGCACTTCTGTGAACCATAAAGCAGGCCCTCACCAGACAAGGAAACTGCCAGTGCCTCGATCTAGGACTTCTCAGCCCCCAGAGTTGTGAGAAATAAATTTCTGTTGTTTATAAGCCAGCCAGTGTATTTTTTTTTTTCATAGCAGCCTGAAAGGACTAAAACAGACAGCATGAACATAAAAAGCCCAAGACTAATGGCCAAGGGGACTAGTAGAGGCTTAGCTCTCTTTGAAGACAGAAATTTATTTAAATCCCAGGACTCAGATGCACTCTTTGAATAGTTCTCTTCCAATGATGAGCAACTTTCACCTACGGAAAACCTATTTATACCACTTGAGTAGAAACAGGATTATCCTGTTTCCACTGGTCTTTGCACAGATGAATAAACAGAAGCCCAGAGAAGGAAATGTCATCGCCAACTGTTTCGCAGGCACTAACAATTGTATGGTCTTGGGCACTACACTTTCTGAGCCAGCGCTGTCCAACAGAAATGTAATGGAAGCTACAAAGAGAGCCACACGAGTACTTTACATTTTCTACTAACCACATTTTAAAAAGTAAATAGAAATGGTGAAGTAAATAGTAAAGTGAAATTAAATTTTATATTTTAATTGACCCTAAGTATAACTTCAACATGTAATGAACACAAGTCTTAGAAATCGGATGGGTATTTTCTTTACACTTAAAACACATTTTAATTCCGACTAGCCATAGTTCAAACCCTCAGTAACCACCTGTGGTTAGTAGGTATAGTACTGGACCGCGCAGTTCAATGCCTCAGTTTCCTCTGTGAACTGAGAATAAAATGAGGGATAAAACTGCCTAGGTCACTGAATGGATAAGAGAGGACCAGGGAAACACCTCGCGCCCCGCCCTGCACTCCGCCCAGCACGTAGGGGGCGCGTAATAAATCTTGGTTTCTTTAGTCTTTTCTTTCAACGCACCGCCCACTTCAAGTCTCCGCCCCTTTCCCCGCCCCCTTCAGGTTCCGGGCGGAAGTAGTGCTGTTAAAAGCAGGGCGCTTTGCAGTATCGCTGCATTTTACTGCAGTGTGGCCGGCTGGCGTGTCGCGCGCACTTCTGCTTCATTGGCTCTGCGGCCCCTGCTCCAGGCGCTTTACGGCAGTGTGGCTGGAGCTGCCGCTCTGGGGGCCGCGGTTTGGTCGTGAGTGGAGGGAATCCGAATAGCCGGTGTTGACTGAGACTGGAACCATGGACGTTGGGGAACTTCTGAGCTACCAGGTATGAGGGTCGAGGAGGGCTCGGGAGACCGTCCTCTCACCCAGGCAGGAATCGCAGGACCAGAGTTCCTTCATATCACTTTCTCCCATCTCTACCCTGGGCCTGGGTCCTCTCACTTCTCGTGTCAGCCAGATCCCTCCCTCGAATTTCTCCTGGGTTCTTTCAATTCATTCCGATCCTCAAGGCCAGGACCTCTTCTTAACTTCAGTCTGGGCCTGTTCTCACCCTACCCTGGGACTTGACTCCCTTTCGCTTTTCTGAAGGCCCCAGACTATCTTCACAACCATTCCCCTTTAATTCTCTTCAGGTCACTGAGTTGATGATCGTGGTGGGAGAGCACTGACCTTTCTTGTATTTGAGTATCAGCTTCTCTACTGATGGCTCTGTGGCTTTGGGACAAGTTCTGTTGTCTTCTTGGAGCCTCAACTTTTGTATTTATAAAACAGAGACACTAATAGCTACCTATTAGGGTAGTTTGAGGACTGTGTCAATCAATGAATGTGAAAGCTGATTTTAAAATCCAGAAAGTTGGACACATGTTAATTGCAGTTGTTGGCAGATGTTTGACTTTCTCACATGTGATGGATCCCTAGGAATCTTCTTGTCCCATTTGCTCAGAATACGTGTGGGGAAACTGGCCCAGAGGGTAGAAAAGACTTCCAAAGTCACTCAATAAGAGCTTTGATTAGAAATGAGGTCTTTTGGCTCCCAGCTCAGCCATTTTACCTTTCTTTGGCCTTCTTAAATGTCCAGTATGGTAGCCACTAGCCACATACAGCTGTTGAACACTTGAAATGGGACTAGTCTGAATTGTGTTAAGTTACGCTTAGAATAATCAGTATAAAAAAGTAAAATTTTAATATTGATTACCTGACCATATCACCTACTTTGATTATTGAACATACTGATTAAATAATCATATATGGGTAATGGGCAAAATAAAATATATTCAAAATAAATTTTACCTATTTCTGTTGACTTTAAATGTTGCTACTGGCCTTTTAGTGTGGCTACTAAAACTACGTATATAGCTGGCTTTTCATTTTCCTTGGACAGCTCTGCAGTAGAGAATAGGGGACTAAGAGCCATGTGTCTGGAGCTCTGTTGCTTGGTGTCTCTGTTTTGCTGCTCTCTGACTGCTGTGACCTGGAACAAAATATTTAACTTCTCTCTGCCTTGGCTTCCTTATGTTGTAAGTGAGGGCAATGAAAGTACCTATCATATAAGTCTGTTGTGAAGCTGTTGTAAAATGTGAAGTGTTTGGAGTCATGCTTGTCAAAGAATAAATGTTTGAAGAATGTTAGCAATTATATTCATGCAATTCATTCAGCCAATGTATTGTACATAGAACTGACCTTGGAGACTCTGGACATCATGGGAAAGAACTTGTAAGCAATGGGAAGTATTTATAGCCAAGTGATTTCCTTTTTAAGACAGTAATTGGATGTGAAAGAAGAAAGGAGATAGGTGGTTGAATGATTGGTTATATCCCTGGTGGCTCAGATGGTAAAGAATCTGCCTGCAATGCCAGAGACCTGGGTTCAATCCCTGGGTTGGGAAGATCCCCTAGAGAAAGGAATGGCAACCCTTTCCAGTATTCTTGCCTGGAGAATCCCAGAGAAGCCTGGTGGGCTGCAGTCCATGGGTTCCAAAGAGTTGGACACAACTAAGGCAGTCCATTGAGCCCCAAAGAGTTGGACATGACTGAGCGACTAACACTTTCACTTTGATGCCTGTTTGGCCTACACATGAGCACATTACTCATAAAATGGGCTTCCCAGGTGGCTCAAGTGGTAAAGAATGTGCCTGCCAATGCAGAAGACACAGGAGACTCAGGTTCAATTCCTGGGTCTGGAAGATCCCCTGGAAGCGGAAATGACAGCTCATTCCAGTATTCTTGCTGGGATAATCCCATGGACAGAGGAGCCTGGTGGGCTGCAGTCCATGGGTTCCATAGAGTTGGACACAAGTAAGGCTACAGAGCACTCATAGAACATTAAAGCTTGAAAAGGTTCATTTATTTGCTCAACAAATATTTATTGAGTATGTACTTTGCAAGGCACTGTATCCACTGATATACAGCACTGAACAAAACAGATAAGGTTCTTGCTTTGTGGAGCTTATAATCTGGGGAAGTAACAAGATAAGAGTAAATGAATGAAAAATTCAGGTCATGATAAGTGCTTTGAAGGATACACAGGATATACTACGGAACTGGGCTGATTGATGTAGCCACTGGTTGCATGTTACCTAGTGAACTCTTGGAATGTGGCTAGTTTGAGTTGAGGTCTGCTTCCCATGTAAAATATACACTGGATTTTCAAGATTTAGTGTGAAGGAAGTGATGAAAAAGGTGATTAAAGTATATTAATTTTTATATTGATTCCATGCTGAAATGATGCTTAGGGTATATTGACTTAAGGAAAATCATTAAAATTAGTATTATCATCTTAAAAACATTTAAAATGTTTATAAATTTAAAATGTGGCTACTAGAAAATTTGAAGTTATATATGCATCTTGTGACTTCCAGTATATTTTTGTTGGACAGTGCTATGGTTTTTTTTGTCTTTTTTTTTTTTTTTTTAATTGTTGGGGCTGCACTACCCAGCATGTGGAATCATAAGAGTTGCCCGACCAGAGATCGAACCTGCACCCTCTGCAGTGGAAGTGCAGAATCTTAACCATGGACCACCAAGGAAGCCCTGGACAACACCGTTAAAGAAAATAACCCATGGAAGTGAGAGACAGGACCTATTATTTTTAGATAATATGGTTTGGGAAAGACTTTGAGGAATGGACATGATAAGATGGTTGAGAAGGAACCAATTATGTGAAAAGCACAGAATAATCAAAGCAGAGGGAACAGCAAGTACATAGACTCTGAAGTAGAAGGTGGTACAGCCTGTTGGAGGATCAGGAAGAGGACTGATGTAGCTGGAACTTGGTAAATGAGCAGGGGAATGAAAAGCGATGAAATTGGAGATGTTGCAGATGACTGGCTGTGGAGGTCTTGCTGTGGACCATAATACGGAGTTTGAATTCTATTTTGAGAGATGTTACAGATACCCTCATTCAGCCCACATGTTTACAAATGAAAAGTGAACCCCATTTTGGTAAAGCAACTCCCCAAAGGTTGTGGGCCAAGGTAGTGGCAAGAGTCAAAACCAGAATCCTGATCTGTTCATTCTCTACATGGCACTGTCCATGCAGTTTTCTTTCTGTAAGATCCATGTCCACTCCTTCTGTTCCTAAAAGATGGTACAGTCTAGAATCCAGTCCATAACAAATCAGATGCACCCATCCTCTTGTGGAAAGTCATGAGGATCACCCAAGTTAATAGCTGCAAAAGCTCTTTGAAAACTAAGTTTTTATAGACATGAAAGATGTATTGCATGCTTGCATCCTATCTCTAAATATAACAGCCCTATGTGGAGGGCTGTTTTAAATCCCTTGTTGTACAAATGAGAGAACTGAGGTACAAAAAAGTGCCTGCGCCAAAGCTGGAGCTCCTACCCACTGTGCTGGGCTGAACTAACGTGCTTTTAGATACATCCTTACATTAATTTTCAACATGGTCTTTGAGGTAGGTGGCACACCTGTTTTATAGAAAAGGAAACTCAAGCTGGAGGGGTCGGTTACCTGCCCAAGATGAAACAGCCAGTAAGGAGCAGAGCTAGAACTGGAACCAATTGAATACCCAAATCTAGCTTTCCAATTTTAAAAAACTTTAAAAATTGAACTATGGTACATGTATAGACGAATGCACAAATCTTAAGTGCTTTTGATTATAGTTGTCATTTACAAAGTAGATTCAGTAAGACCACTAGTGTTCATTTCTCAGGGACAAAGCGGTCTGATTTGAACATCCCCACGCCCAGAGTTTGATTCAGTAAGTCTCCCATGAGACCTTAGAATTCGCATTTCTAACAAGATGCCAAGTGATGCTTAAGCTGCGGGTCCAGGGACCCCACTTTGAGATCCCCTGGTCTAGAATGATCTACATTCCTCTTAAAATTTTCTTCAACTGAGACGTTTCATCTCCCTTTTCGTGGCCATTAGTTTGCAGTATTTTGAGTGTAAGCTATACTTTTCCCCCTGCCATCTAAGATATTGAGAACAAATCAGTTAATCTTTCTGGGCCTCAGTTTCCTCATATGACTAATGAGGAAAGATTAAGTAAGTTCCTCTGAGCTCCCTTCTAGCTTTACAATTCTGTCATAACTAATTATTTAGGCCAAGAGCTCCAGAGATTTCAAGGGATAAAAAAAGCTTGATGTAGAAGGATGAATTGGGGCTGAAAATCTGGGAGACTTGAGTTTTAATCCTACCTTTATCATTATTTATCTGGGTGACTCAGGATAAGTTGCTTCCCTTCTCTGTACATCATTTTTTTTAAAATCATGATTAATATACAATGAGATTGAGCTCTATGACTTCTTGTTCTTTCCTTTCCTAAAATTCAAAGACTAAGGTAAATAAAGAAAATCTGTAATATCAAGGATGTTTATTAAAAGTATTTGACATTTTTTGAGTGCTTACAAAGTCTCACTTTTGGGGCAGCTTGGTGGGAAGATTCCAATTTTCTACCAAGATTGGTTCTTCTAATAATAGAGTTAGGCAGCAAGCGCCTCAGTATATGCCTTATATCCTTGACATATGTTAACTATTCATTTGAGAAGACAGGAGAATTACAATGTGGACAGGAGGTGGTGGAAAAAGTCTTAAAGAGGAAACTAGTTATGTTCCCAATATGGAAATGTACTTTTTTGATGCCTTCAGGCTTCGACATCTCATCAAGAAGTGTGCCCAGCAGTTCCTTGGCTGAGAAGTTTCTGCTGCATAGACGCGTGTATGAACTCCAGGGCATTCTCATTAATACTAATTCCACAGATGTCTGGAAAAAGTTCTTACCTCTGAAGTTTTCCAATAAAGAATTCTCATTTAGTGCAGTTTGGCTCAGTGGGAATGACTCGCTTTGTGACATGAGAGTATTCTCTT